CCTATGGAATCAAGACTTTCCTCTGAAATAATGGGAGACTGGCCTCCCTTGTTCAAATCTGAGAATGTAAAACATGAACCATGTATGCACAGGAAAAGTCACTCGAGCTGCTTCAAATCAAAGTGGGGTCACAGGTGAAATAGAGAGTATTTTCAATCTTAGCAACTACATGAATCCTAAGTGTTTTGGATATCTGGAGTGCAGTGGTACCCTCATGGCTCACTACAGACTTGAACTCTTGGGCTCAGGTGATACTTTCAACTCAGCCTCCCGGGACTATAAGCATGCACCACCACTACGTCTGGCTAATTTTTTTTTTTTGAGTTGGAATCTCACTCTGTTACCCAGACTGGAGTGCAGTGGCCGTTCCTGGTCACTGCAGCCTCGACCTGCTGGGCTCCAGCAATCCTTCTGTCTCAGCCTTCCAAGTAGCTGGAACTATAGGCGCACGCTACCACACCCGGCTAATTTTTGATTTATTGTAGAGATGAGGTCTTGCCAAGTTGCCCAGGCGGGTCTCGAACCCACGGGCTCAGGCAATCCACTCACCTCAGCCTCCCAAAGCGCTGGGATCACAGGCTGAGCCACCAGGCCTGGCTTAATTTTTAAAAATTTTTTTTGTAGAGATGAGGTCTCACTATGTTGCCCAGGCTGGTCTCGAACTCCTGAACTCAAACAATCCTCCCGCCCAGGCCTCCCAAAGTGCTGGGGTTACAGGCATGAGCCAGTGCACCTGACCTGCACTCTCCATTCTTGTATGGAAAGAGTTTATGTGCTAATAAGCTAACTAACCTTAACCAAACACTTGGTGTATGTGGGTGGAGGTAGAGTGGGGAGGGGGACAAGGGAATGAAGAGGAAATGGAGCAGAGGCTCCTCTGAGTTTGTTCTTTTCTCACCAGGAAATGAACACTGCATCCTAATGCCCACAAGTGAAGTAGCTCAGTCTCCTTTCCTATCTACGTATTAATGCATGGACCTGATCAGTACATTATACTCCAGAGCAAATGTTTGCCTAATAAAAAAATAAAAGGTTTTGAGAAAAGTAAGATAATGTGCACAGACAAGTAGAAAAAAAGCGTGTTTCTTTTTTTCTTCCTTCAAACAACCTGCTATGTATGAAAGAGTCTATAGAATGGCAATTCCAGGGCTGGGTGCGGTGGTGCAAGCCTGTAATCCCAGCACTTTGGGAGGTGGAGGCGAGAGGACTGTCTGAGCCCAGGGGTTCAAGATCAGCCTGGGCAACTTGGTGAGACCTCGTCTCTACAATAAATCAAAAAATTAGCTAGATGTGGTGGCATGTGCCTGTAGTTCCAGCTACTTGGTTTGTTTGTTTGTTTTTTTGAGTTGGAGTCTCACTCTGTCACCCAGACTGGAGTGCAGTGGCCGCTCCCCGCCACCACAGCCTCGACCTGCTGGGCTCCAGTGATCCTTCCACCTCAGCCTTCCAAGAGCTGGAACTACAGGCGCATGCTACCATGCCCAGCTCATGTTTTGATTTATTGTAGAGATGAGGTCTCGCCAAGTTCCCCAGATGGGTCTCGAACCCGCGGGCTCAGGCAGTCTACTCACCTCAGCCTCCCAAAAGCGTGGGATTACAGGCTGAGCCACCGAGCCTGGCTCAGTTCCAGCTACTTGGAAGGCTGAGGTGGAAGGATCGCCTGAGGCCAGCAGGTTGAGGCTGCAGTGGTCATGAGTGTGCCACTGCACTCCAGCCTGGGGACAGAGTGAGACTCTGACTCAAAAAAAAAAAGGCAATCCCTTTTCTGTCCTGAAAGGAGATGCCCTAGGACCAGAATGGGCGCTTTTTACACCATTCAGTTAGCTGTGCTTATCCCAAGTCCTACTGAGGAACAGGGTCAATTACTTCTAGGCTTACCACTTCTATGAAGGTGTTTTCCATGGCTGTCACTTGTTTTTTTGAGCTGGAGTCTCACTCTGTTGCCCAAGCTGGATTGCAGTGGCACAATCACAGTTCACTGCAGCCTCAACCTCCTGGGCTCAGGCGGTCCTTCCGTTTCAGCCCCCTAGCTGGGACTAAAGGCATGTGCCTGGCTATTTTTGGTTTTGTTTTTGTAGAGACAAGGTCCTGCTATGTTGCCTAGGCTGGTCTTGAACTCCTGGGTTCAAGCAATCCTCCAACTTTGGCCTCATAAAGTGCTGGGATTACAGGCATAAGCCAATGTCCCTGGCCTATGGCTGTCACCTTTAAAGGGGTGCTAAAAATCCTGGATGCTTATCTTAGCTTCGAAACAACTCCAGCTAATATCAGGAAGCTATGCACCAACATACAATAAACTTAGCTGAAATCTATGCAGCAACAGGGACTAAATACTGTGGACCTACAATCTACAGTAGAAGTAATTTGGGAGGACATAATTAATTCCCTCTTCCCCCCAAAAGAGTTCCAAAGAGTAAAATACAAATTTAAGAATCCAACACTATAAGGTTGTTCATTTAACTGATTCCATACCATTTTATTCTGGCAGAGAGCTTATGCTTGGGTAACAAGGGCATTTTCAACTCTAGATTAAGGTGACTTTATTTATTAATTCTTGAGCCAGGGTCTCACACTTTCAACCGGGCTGAAATGCAGTGGCATGATCATAGCTTACCACAGCCTCAAATTCCTGGGCTCAAATGATCCTCCTGCTCAGCCTCCCAAAGTGCTGGGACTTTAGGTCCATACCACCCTGCCCAGCTAATTTTTCTATCTTTTATAGAGACAGGGTTTTGCTATGTTGCCCTGGCTGGTCTCAAACTCCTGGCCTCAAGTGATCCTCTCACCTCAGTCTCCCAAAGTGCTGTGGTACAGGTGTGAGACACCATACCTGGCCTATTATTTTTACACTTATTATTATTTTTTTTTTTGAGTTGGAGTCTCGCTCTGTCGCCCAGACTGGAGTGCAGTGGCCGCTCCCGGCCACCGCAGCCTCGCCTGCTGGGTTCCAGCGATCCTTCCGCCTCAGCCTTCCGAGTAGCCGGAATTACAGGCCTGCGCTACCATGCCCGGCTGATTTTTTGATTTATTGTAGAGATGAGGTCTCGCTGCCCAGGCGGGTGTCGAACCCGCGGGCTCAGGCAATCCACTCACCTCAGCCTCCCAAAGGCGCGGGATTACAGGCTGAGTCACTGAGCCCGGCTTACACTTATTATTATTACTTTTGGGTCAGAGTCTCACTGTGTTGCCCAGGCTGCAGTCGCACAATCATGGATCACTGCAGCATCCACTTCATGGGTTCAGGTGATGCTTCTACCTCCCGAGTAGCTGGGACTGCAGGTGCATGCCACCAAGCCTGGCTAATTTTTTGATTTTTTTTTTTTATAGAGATGAGGGTCTCGCTATGTTGTACAGCCTGGTCTCAAAACTCCTGGGCTCAAGCAATCCTCCTACATTGGTCTCACAAAGTGCTGGGATTACAGGCATGAGCCACTGTACCCAGCCAATTTTTTTTTATGGAGAAAAGGTCTCACTATATTGTCTAGGTTGGTCTCGAACTCCTGGTCTCAAGTGATCCTCCTGCCTCAGCTTCCAAAGCGCTAGGATTATAGGCATGAGCCACCAGGCCTGGCCCAGATTATGGTGATTTGATAATTTTAGTCACCTGTTCAACATAATTATGCCCTTTGTCACCCAAACTCTTTTGGCCTTTTTATAAAATGACAAATTTATTTGGTCTATTTAAGACATTTTATTTTTTAAAATTCTGACATTAAGCTTCAATAAGTACAAAAGTTTCACAAATATAAAAATTCTGTATAGCTCTGGTAGTTTAAAAATCCAAGAAAACAAACAAATTTTTAAGCTGGATAATATTCACCTCCATAGATCTGACAGTCTTGTTGCAATGTGGCCATAAAAATAGTAAAAAAAACTATTTCACTGTGATTATATTAAATTTCTGATGACTCTTTTTTCACTTGTTCTAAAAAGTCTGTGTTCTGACATTTATACTGGACGGACTCTCTACCTGCACTTTGTTAAAAGCCCCATTCCCTGTTATCTTTTTTTTACCATTAGCTAGTTGTGCCCAAAGGAAGATTCTGACAACAGCTTCAGAAGCAAGTAAGGTTAAATTCAGATTTATAGCTATTGTTCTTCCCAATGGACCAAAAAAAAAAAAAAAAAAAGTTGAAAAAGATTGCTAAATTTTTCTTACTAATGTTAATTTCTCTTCCTGCAAGGATTTAAGTTTCATACTTACATTGCAAATAAATTATATCTGATGAGCTTTTATTTTCTTTTCAATGTATTTTTTAAAAGCTTTCTTCAAAAAGTTTGGGAGGTAGAGAGAGGATTGCCTGAGCTCAGGGGTTTGAAACCAGCCTGGGCAACATGGTGCGATCTCTACAATAAATCAAAAATGTAGTCGGGCATGGTGGTGCACGCCTGTGGTTCCAGCTACTTGGAAGGCTGAGGTGGAAAGATCACCTGCCCAGCAGGTCGAGGTGCCCATGAGTGTACCACTGCACTCCCAGCCTGGGTGACAGAGAGAGACTCCAACTCAAAAAAAAAAAGCTTTCTTTTCTTTTTTTCCAAGTCAGAGTCTTACTCTGTCACCCAGGCTGGAGTGCAGTGGCACACTCACAGCCACCACAGCCTCAAACTGCTGGGCTTAGGCAATCCTTCCGCCCCAGCCTTCCAAGTAGCTGGAACTACAGGCATGCGTCATCATACCTGGCTAATTTTTCTTGATTTATTGTAGAGATGAGGTCTCACCAAGTTGTCCAGGCTGGTCTCGAACCTGTGGGCTCAGGCAATCCTCTCACCTTAGCCTCCCAAAGTGCTGGGATTATAGGCGTGAGCCACCGCACCTGGCCAAAAACTTTCTTAAAAAAGTGAATTTTTCCTATGCCTGAGGACTCTGAGTAAAAATGATGAAGATAATCAAAGTTAGCCCTTCTACTTCCTTACCTAATAACCTGTAGGACAAAGAGAACTTAGATCATGGCACCTCTTCAGCAACTCAAGGTATGTCAGAAAATTAAAACAAAACAAAACAAAGAAAAACTCACTTTATTTACTCATAGATAATAAAAAATATAGCCTGAATATTGCAGGCATGAAGACCAAGTGAGTGATGGAAAGCCATATTAGAGGCTGTCTTTCTTACAGTTTAGGTCTTTCTTTTTCCTCTGCTTAATAAGAAACAAATTATCACCGTCAGCGTCTTCCAAGTGCCTCTCCTTTTTCTTCTGCTTGCCCCGCTTGCCCTCTTTGGGGGGCTTGTCTTCTCTTGACCTGTGGGAATGCAATGAATGGCGATAGGACTTGTGAGGCTTCTGGGTTCTGAAGCTGCCAGAAGAGTGGGTTTTTGAGCCCCTGGGAAAGTCCTCAGCCACGGCCCAAGGTCTGCCGGCCTTCCTGTGCCCTTCATGGTCTCTGGTCTTGTTCATCCTTTCTTTTTGCAACCCTTCATCTTCTTGAGGCCACTTGCTGCTTTTCCACGAGGCATGGCTCTTCCTCATATAATGGTGGGGGTTCTCATCTGCTGCTTCCGTATAGGGTGTCTCAAGATGCTTTGGAATATCCCCATTTTTCTTGAGTGCTGGAAAATATAAAAGTATGTTTTGCATATTCAGCAGCTAGGTAGTCCATGCGAGCTTTCGTCAGTCTTCAATAACTTAGTAGACAGGGAAGCTACACATTTAAATGTGTTAATAAGACATTCTAAACAAACTTACTAAGGTTAAAAAAAAAAATCACTCACTAAAAATTGAATGGCTGTAGTTCTGTGTTCCCGATCGCTAAAAATGGAAAACATCCAGAAACCCACTGATAGTTATTTATCTGTTCCACACAGTTTAGGTTAAACAACAGAGGTGAGGACCAGTGAGAACAGAAATCATCTTAGCTTTGTGTAGAAAAGTCATGTCTGACCAATTCAAGTTTCTCCAGTGATAAAGAGACAGCCCTTGAAGATAAGGCAAAGCAAGTTGTACAAAATGGCCTTTTGATGGTCTCGTATGACATTTCAATTACCCTCCAAAGATAAGACCTGGTTACAGTACTCACGGGGGGATGCCAAACTGCCCAGATTACTCCTCCAGAGTAGTGATCACTGGCTTGAGGAGTGTGTGTGTGTGCACGCACGCGCATGTATCTTAGAGGTTTTAGTGCCAGAGCTGATGCTATGTTTTGTCACGACTTGACATACTTATTATGAATGTCTGATGGTAGTGATTCTGACAGGGTCAGGTGGGAGATGAGGTTACAGTAAGGGATGAAAACGAACATGTCAACAGAATCTTGAAAGATTAAGAAATGGCCAATAAAGAATTTTAGCATAAAGTAAAAATTTCAATGGATCATAGTGAACCTCAAAGTGGATTTATACTACAGAGTTGTCACTATAATTAGCTAAAAAGAAAACAAATTATTTTTCTGATTATAAAAGTTACAACTGCTTATTATAGAAAACTTGGAAAAAATCGGAAAAGTATAAATAACATAAAACAGAAAGCACCCATAATCCTTTAATCCAGAAGTGACATTTTCATGCATTTCTTTTTAATCTCTTTTTTTTTTTTTTTTTTGAGTTGGAGTCTCACTGTCACCCAGACTTAAGTGCAGTGGCCGCTGCCGGCCACCGCAGCCTCGACCTGCTGGGCTCTGGCAATCCTTCCGCCTCAGCCTTCCAAGGAGCTGGAACTACAGGCGCACACTACCACACCTGGCTAGTTTTTTAAATTTATTGTAGAGATGAAGTCTTGCCTGCCTAGGCAGGTATCGAACCCGCAGGCTCAGGCAATCCACTCACCTCAGTCTCCCAAAGGCGCGGGATGACAGGCTGAGCCACTGAGCCCGGCTTTTAATCTCTTTCTAATTTAGCTGTCTAACTATAATCTTCATGTACTATAATTTCCCCAAACAACTGACCCCCGAACAACAGTTTGAACTTCGTGGGTCCACTTATACACGAGTTTCTTTCAACCAAATAGAGCATCTGCAGGATGTGAAACTCGTGTATATGGATGGTCAATATTTTGTATACAAACTTGGGTTCCACAGTGCCAACTGCAGATTTCGTATTTTGTGCAGATTTTGATATATGAGTGGGATCCTGGAACCAATACTGAGGGGTGACTGTAGTTGAGATAAATTTTATATTAAATGTGATATGTAAACATGCAGGAGTTATAAGAAGGGATTCCTTGACTTTCCATAAAATCAGTATCTTCATTTTGAAAAGGACCTGAACTGAGAGTCTAGAAAAGAATAGCAAAAAGATCAAAAGAGTCAGAAAACATTGTATAGAAAACTTGAAAATGATAGAACTATTTTGTCCTGAAAGCAAGAAAGGTAACTTGGAAAACCATGTTGAATTATATAATAAGAAAGAATAGAGGCAGAGAAAATAGATGTAAATGATAAGATACTAACCTGGTAAAAAAGAAATTTACATCAGAAACACTAGGTGCAGAAACCCCAGAAGTGGCTGTGGACCTCGAGCTCTGCTTGCAATGGTGGCCTGTAAGAAATGACTTCTAGGGGGAAGCTCCAGGAATAACCCAGCAGGAAAGGCTTTCTTTTAATGAAAAATAGTAGTAGGAAAGACTTTCTTTCCATGAAAAATACTAGAGCATACAAAGAGAAAAAAATAATTACTTCTTTTTTTTTTTTTTTTGAGTTGGAGTCTCACTCTGTCGCCCAGACTGGAGTGCAGTGGCCGCTCCTGGCCACCGCAGACTTGACCTACCGAGCTCCGGCGATCCTTCCGTCTCAGAGTAGCTGAACTACAGGGCACGCTACCATGCCCGGCTAATTTTTTTTATTTATTGTAGAGATAAGGTCTCATCAAGTTGCCCAGGCGGGTCTCGAACCTGTGGGCTCAGGCAATTCACTCACCTTGGCCTTCCAAAGCACGGGATTACAGGCTGAGCCACCGAGCCCGGTCAATAATTACTTTTTAAACAGAAAATTCTCAGAGCAGTCTTTAAAAACTTTCCAGCCAAGTGTGGTGGCTCATACCTGTAATCCCAGCATTTTGGGAGGCCAAGGCAAAAAGACTGCCTGAGCCCAGGGCTTTGAGACCAGCCTGGGCAACTTGGCGAGATGTCTCCACAATAAATCAAGAAAAATTAGCTGGGCACGGTGGCACACGCCTGTAGTTCCAGCTTCTTGGAAGGCTAAGGTGGAGGGATCACCTGAACCCAGCAGGTTGAGGCTATGGTGGCCGTGAACATGCCACTGCACTCCAGTCTGGGTGACAGAGGAAGACTGTGACTCAAAAAACAAAAACAAAAAAACAGAAACAAAAAAATCCAAAAACTTTCCATACATAGATGACAGCAGAATTTTCTGGACATTTTCTAAAATGATCACTATGTGAAAAAATAAAATGTTTATTGTAAATAGACTGCAATACAAGATTTTTGAAGTGGGTGCTTGGTTTCTGGAGATCAAGAAAGTTCCAATTTTTATGGTAATTATTAAAAATATTCTCTATGCTAACTAATGACCTCCAAAGCAAAGACAGTATAAAAAAAGAAATTTAGGAACTACTGTAAAAGTGACCTAACAAGAAGTCTAGTAACATACCTTTTATTTTTTGTTTTAGTCTCTTTTCTCTCTTCCGAATTTTGTATTTGTCATCATAGTAGCAGATGAATGGAGATACTGGATACGGGTCATACACTTCTCTTTCTGTACATTCCTAAAAATTGTATTTGAAATTATGATGTCACAAGGTCATACTGTTCAGAAAATCCTTATGCACGATCCTGAACCACGTTAATTAGAGAGGAGCCCCACATCACTAGAACCTCATGCTATGGCTATAGGACATGGTCCTTGCTGGGGTATTGGGAGAGTTACCCAGCCCTACATCTCCTCCGTTGTGATGACAGGTTTTTCTTTCAGGCTTGGTTTTCCTCCCTCCCCCCCCTTTTTTTGAGGTGAGGTCTCACTCTATTGCCTAAGCTGGAGTAGATAGGCACGATAGGACTCATTGCAGCCTTGACCTCCTGGACTCAGCCTCCCAAGTAGCTGGGATTACAGGTGTGTGCCACTATGCCCAACTAATTGTTTTATTTTTTGTAGAGACACGGTCTTGCTATGTCACCCAGGCTGTTCTTGAACTCCTGTGCTCAAGTGATACTTCCACCTTGGCCTCCCAAAGTGCTGGGATTGCAGGTGAGTTTACTTTATTTGGCCTTATATTAGTACTAGTCCTTTGCTAGTCCATCTCTTCCAACATCCTTTCCTCAAGTAATTCTCTATTTCTTCTTCCCATCAACAAACTGTGGGTGTAAGTTCTTAGCCCTTTACTCTTTTCTCTAGACACAAGTAGTTTGAGAGCTTATTTTCCCCCAATATTTACTGCTTGTAAAGGTAGTGATTCTTACGGTGGGGAGTAGGATAGTGGTGGGTTATGTCTAGCCTGAAATTGTTCCTAGGTGATCTTGAGATACCCCAAAGGAAGTGCCTCTTCTCCTCGCTCCCCCACCCAAGCTGAGATCACCCAAGTTGACTCTTACCAGCCTCCAAGTCTCAGGACTATGGCCTTTCTACAGTTGGTATTTCCCAATTCACTCCTTTAGTCTGAACCATTCCCCATATAGTAGATTTCTGTTTATCATGATCTGTGATATGTATTCAGCATGTTTAAAACATCTTTTCTTTCAAAGAGGCTTCCCTTTGAAACTCTCCCATTTCTGCCTTCTGCCATCTTGCCTAACATTTATTTACAAATGTTCAATATTTCTTAGCTAAGTAATGAAGAAAAATTAGAATATCTTTTAGAGAGTATGTGAAACATCCATATAAAATTTAGCTGATTCATCATGACTTTGGCATTAGAATACTGAACTTGTACTTGTAAGATATCTGACCAAGCTGGTAGACATACATGTATGTACTTAATTTGCAGAGTTTAAAAAAAGTATGACTAATTCTCAATATATACTTTAGTATAGAAAAAGGTAATGAAAATCTGTATTTACCAAATCATAACATTTTACCTTGACTTCCATTTTATTCCCCCAAGAATTAAAGCATACCTATGTAACTGAAATCCTTTGTGCAACTACTTTTCACTGTCATGAAGCTGACATCTGCCATTCTCATATGTATTTATCCTCTTATACTACTACTATTCCAATAAATATTATAAATTTGAAGTTTCAGACTTCATAAAAATGGTATCATTCTGTAAATATTTAAAAGTGGCTTTGGGTTATAATAGTGTCATAAAATAAGTAGGGTAGTATTCCCTTGGATTATGTTTCTGAATAAAGGTTTGACAAAACTTGTCTTAGAAAACCATCTGAGTCTGGTAGGTTTCAGTGTGGGAAATTCTGATTGTTTATTCAACTTCTTTAATGGTAATGGCTCAGCTGATATGTTCTTGAGTCAGTTTGATCAACTTATATTTTTCTAGAGAGTTATTTATTTTATCTGCATTTTCAGATTTAAGTCTGAACTTTATATTCTCTTATAATAAAAAATACACTATTTTATATTATTTATGCCTTCTACTCATTGTTTGTACCTTTTTCTTTTAGTAGTTTTTCCAGAAGTCTCTCTTTTCTTTTTTTTTTTTTTGAGTTGGAGTCTCACTCAGTCGCCCAGACTGGAGTGCAGTGGCTGCTCCCAGTCACCGCAGCCTCGACCTACTGGGCTCCAGCAATCCTTCCACCTCAACCTTCCAAGGAACTGGAACTACAGGCGTATGCTACCACGCCTGGCTAATTTTTGACTTATTGTAGAGATGAGGCCTCACCAAGTTGTCCGGGCGGGTCTCGAACCCGCAAGCTCAGGTAAACCACTCACCTCGGCCTCCCAAAGTGCTGGGATTAGAGGCTGAGCCACTGAGCCCGGCTAGTCTCTCTTTTCTTTTGAGAAAAAGAGTTTTTAAAGAAACAGCTTTTGGCTTTGTTGATGCTATTCAGTTTTCTATTTCAGTAATTTTAGTTCTTATCTTTATTATTTCCTTCCTTCTGCTATCTTTAGAGTTACTCTCTTGTGACTTTCTGGATCATCTTTTTTTGGGGGGGTGCTCTTGGAGGTTATATGGCAAACCTATATGGTAAAATAAAGAAATGCTTTTATAAACTGCTATCCATGAGAAAGGGTATACTTAAGACTTGGGTCTAGGAATCTAACCATAAGTGAAATGAAAGACTGCTAATTAATAACAAAACACACGAAAGCACAAAAATCAACTGTGTAATATGGAGTCATTTTCAGAATACTTTAGTACCATAATGGTGATTTGTAAAGCAATTTTATGAATTTCCAACATAAAATAGTCAAGAGAAAATTATGACTACAGAAAGGTCTTAGAGATCTTGACACAATCAGTTAATACCCACTTCTACAGAATCGTTTAACTCTTCCAGCACCTGCTAACCCTTTCAACCCTCCTGAAGTCGTCTCTTTGTATATGAAGAAGTTATTCAACAATAACATCTTTAGGGCTGAGCTTCTGAAACTGAAGGAGATGGGTTCTCAGACATCTTTAAATAGTTTCCTATTTGAATCCTGTATGGTCTAGACTGATGTGACTACACAGAGCTATACAGTACCACAAATGTTTTCCAAAGCTACATGTAAATTATATTTTGATTATCCACATCGCTGGTCCCCTCCATTAGCAGAGACAATTGATAGTTGGCTATACAATTTATCTATTCTGGATTAGCCACACCACTGATCTTCTTCATTAGTGTGAACAATCTAGAGTTCTTCATCTATGGCAGTGATGAGGGTGCCAAATTTGCTTTATTATAAATTAAAAATTATCTAAGTCTAGATTTCAGGGATAAATTCCAAAAGCTTTTAATATATTGCCAATCTACATTAACAGAAGTGACTAGTAAGCATCCAATTATTATTGTTTTCCTTTAATTGAACACACATAAATGTTAAAATTATACTCCTCAGCTTTAAAGAGGTAAACAAGCATAAATCGTATATCTTTGTGATTTATGTGGCAATGGAACACTTATGTGAATATGTCCCTAAAAGGTGCTGATGACACCTGAATGTTGGTAATGAGGAACACGCAAAGCCGTCTAAGATCTAGAGATGATAAATTTGTTAAAAGAAGTCTTTCTAGTTAGATTTCCAATGTGAGTTCTCCATCCGTATCACCACACTATGGATTTGATAACATTGGAAATAGCACCCAAATGTCTGCGCTGAGAGACCTTCTGTACAACTTCTTTGCTTTGGAGATAAAGAAACTGGGACCAAAGAGAAAAAGTGGGTTGTTCAAGTCATGTGGTTAAGTCAGTAGCAGGGCAAAAATTAGAACTGCAGAGCAGAGTCTCATACTAGCTTTCATATTCTATGCCTCATCCCCACAGCTCCTGTTGCCCCAAGATTAACTTGATCTGTTGAAGGACTTTTTCACATTCTTCCTTCTCGCAGCAATTTTGCCTCCCCACAATGCAGGTGCTCCAGCCCCAAGGTTCATACCAGTGAAGTGTCAAGGCCAGAATTTAAGTATAACCTGCAATACTGCCCCATCCTACAGCTCACATAGTCCATTTGGAGGACTCCCAAGAGTCTGTATGCCTTCAGTCTCCATCCATCATATCTGATTTGATATTAGTTTATCTTGGTTTTCCAGCCTCTTAGAAACCTCCCTGTAGACTAGTAGTATATCTCTCCATAAGAATTTTTTTACTTTCTGTGCCGCTGTCTCAAGATTCCTGGGATGTATTAGCTCTGAGCCTATTCTGATTGTATTTTGTCTCTGAGATGAGCTGCTGCTTTTTCCTACATAAGGTGGCAACTAGCTAGTGAATTCATGCCCACCTCAAAGCAAAAAGTTTCTTCCATGTTGACACCTTAACATCTAGAACACACACAATCTGGTCCTTTCAGTTGAGGTTAGGGAATGTGTTGGCTGGACAGGGAATCTGGGCATCTGTGGGTTGGTGGCCAAGTCAGTGATATAGCATCTCTGTTTTTCCACTAGGGAATGTCAGGTTTTGCACTGAAGATTTAACTGATCACAGTAACAGGGAAAACTGGACAACTAAGTAGAAAATCTAAAACCATGATATGACTGTATTAAAGTAATAGTAATTATAGTAATTCATGAAAACTGCTATCATACTACTGACCATTAATATTTGTCTGATTTACTTTATGAACTCAGTTAGTTTTAGTCCAGCCTGTTCATATACATTTAAAATAATTGGAGAAATATGCTTTGACATATTGTTACTCCGGTGAGGAGGGGAGAAGTAAATCGATTGAAAACATATTAAGTGGCCATTGCCTTGCTAGACTCTGGTGTGGTCATGTGCTCTTTGGGCTATGACTGTCGCCATGTTTTGGCTACCTTCCCTACCTTGGGGAGGTGAATTTTCTCTCTCTCTCTAATTTACTTTTAAATAAATTATATTTCCAATCTAAAAAAAAAAATTAAGTATCACCTTAGAATGTTAATTAAAAAGTAAGCATTTAGAGTTACAATCTTTTTGAGTTCATCTTTCAGAAATGACTCCCTGGCAAGAGAAGCTTTATGCCCAAATGCCATCCAAACTTACGTGTCCATAATGGCCTTTTTGCCCACAGTGGTAGCAATACATTAAAGCTGATGGTCTGGAAGGGGTCTTTGGCTTTTTGGGTGGTCCAGGTTTGGTCTGCAACACAAATATTTGTGAGGGTTTGTTAATGTTAAAAAAAAATTAAAACCTCCTTTTTCCAAAAGGGCTCTTTATAGGTAAGGGATTCCTTAGAAATACTGCTTTTGAGAGCATAATGTGGAGTCCCCATATTCAGGTGACTCCATATATTAATGTGTATAACATGGTAAGAACAACCTCTCCCCTACCCACATTCACTCCCATGACAGCAAGGGAATGGCAATCTTTCTCTCTCTTTGTTTTTTTAGAGACAAGATCTCGTTATGTTGCCTAAGCTGGTCTCGAACTCTAGGCTCAAGGAATCCTCTTGCCTTGGCCTCCCAAAGTGCTGCAATTACAGGCATGAGTCACCATACCCAGCCAAATCTTTTATTCTTAATGTCAATATGTGCTTTCCTCTCCTTTGTCCCTCCTCATTCCATTAGACATTGTACTTAACACTGTGTTGGGTATCTCAGAGAGTAATAGGCCAGTAGAACCTGATAGACATATAAATATATAAATGCAAAACAGTGTCAGCACAGTGACAGTAGTATGCGCAAGGTTTTACTGGAGAAGTCAGGGGGGACCAACCAATGGATGGGGGAAAGGAGGGGTTAGAAAAATTTTCCCTGAAGGGGTAAAATCTAAATTTGTTCTTAGGATTGCCTGAGTCCAGAGGTTTGAGACCAGCCTGGGCAATTTGGCCAGAACTTGTCTCTACAATAAAATATAAAAATTAGTCAGGCGTGGTGGTGCATGTCTGTAGTTAACGGCTACTTGGAAGACTGAGGCAGAAGGATCATTTGAGTCCAGCAGGTTGAGGCTGTGGTGGCTGTGATCATGCCACTGCACACCAGCCTGGGTGACAGAGCGAGACTCTAACTCTCAAAGAATTAGGTGTAAAAATAAAAATAAATAAATGAAGAATCAGGAGTAGGTCAAATGGAGACTCCGTGGCAGAGAGAACTGCGTGAACAATGGCATGAAATTTTAAAAAGAGCACACATGCTGCCAAAGTATGATGTGCATATAGTCAGATGTAATGAAGAAATGTAATGGAGATGGAGAAAGCAGGCAAACAAATGGAGGGCCTTGTAAGTTAAGGAGCTGAGCTTTATCCGGTTTTAAACAAAAGGTTTTAAGTACAGAAACAGAATAGTTAGAATTGTATGGTAGAAAAACCATTTTGGCTTGGAGCTATAAAGAGGGTGAATATGAGCAGAAAGTGAGATGCAGTTTAAAAAGACCAGTGAGGTGGCTGTTAGAAATTCTGGGCAACGCCTATAATCCCAGCCCTTTGGGAGGTTGAGGTGAGAGGATTGCCTGAGCCCACGGGTTCGAGGCCTGCCTCAGCAACTTGATGAGACCTCATCTCTACAATAGATCAAAAAATTAGCAGGGTACGGTGGCATGTGCCTGTAGTTCCAGGTACTTGGAAGGCAGAGGCGGAAGGAGTGCCTAAACCTAGCAGGTCCAGGCTGTGGTGGCTGTGAGCATACCACTGCACTCCAGCCTGGGCAAACAGAGTGAGATTCCAACTCAAAAAAAAAAAAAAAAAAAATTCCG